AAGTTTCCGCATCAGTAATACTAGCAAACCTGACCTGAAACATGAGTGAAATAAAATTTATCTTACAGTTCAGTTTTGAGCATACAGGTTTATGCTGGTATTTCTGCATTTCATACATTGCAGGTGGAAAATTCGAAAAGTAGCCACATGAGGTACATAGCCTTCGCAATGACATGGTAAAAATGTCAGAGTTGGGCCTTAAATGAGATAGTTAAGTTAAACATGCAGAATTAGTGCTGCAGCATGTGCCATTTTATGTCTGTGTGTGAAGGGAGTGAGGAAAATGTCTATTTGGACTGTGTTGTATGGTTCAAGTCCTGTCAAGAGCTGACACATCATTGTACTCGCATGATTTCTTTAGAAAAGTGAAGATTGTGTTTTAAAGCATTCATACTCTAGTTCAAAAACTATCTATTGCTCACCTAACTGTGTTCAAAAAGATCTTATATTTGAGTACTAGTCAGTGGAATGAAAATACTTTGTAAAGTTTTGTTGATGTATAAATATGAATAAAATTAGTTTCATAAGCTTCACTCGTGCAGAATTATTATTACATATATGCATAAGTAGATATGGGTGTGCACTATGCAAGGCATTATTTGTAGTGCTCCATTTTCTTCGATTTGGTTTAATGCAACTTCACTGCTTAGCTAAAGCAATGGTAATGAAAATCAAAGAGGCAAGGTAGGTATTTTCAGCATGAAGTTTAAGAAACACTGTGTGCTACATTACTTTCTTTTTAATAATGCGTAAACAGAGTGCAGCTGAAGGAAGTTTATCCTGCATGTATATATAGCCATAAGGAGTTTTAAAAAGTTATGACTGTACTTTAGTATTCATTATTGTAGTATGAAGGAGGAAGTTTCTATTAATAATTAACTATGAAGACAAGACAGTCTTTAAAATAATTTCATTTTTAATGCAAGGACAATTTGCTTGTTACTGAACCAGGTCGTGTAGGACTTAATGGTGATAAAAGTAGTTTATACCTCGTTTCCAACTTGTGCAAGCACAGGAAAGGTTTGTGGGGTTGTAGCTCACGCGGTGAATTGTATTATTGTGCCATTTAACATGCTCCAATCATACGCACCTGCATTCTGTCACCTCTGTGAATATTGCACATTTTGCTTTTATTTAAAAAAAAAGCTTTCTGAGGTCTACAAGTTAACGTTGATACTTGTTTGCTTGAGAAGTGGCTTCTCACTTTAAAAGCTGAGTACGTTTTTGTTGAAGCTGTGTTAGTGCAAGAAGTTCCAATGCAATATTCTGTTGTTTCTGTACATTGATGTCATATTAAAGTTTAGCAAGTGAACTGTAAAACTTTAGTTTCAGATTAGTTGAGCTTGAGTCAGGTGAATGAATAAACCTTGCAAGGGGAACTCTTTCTTTTATTTATTTCAAGTGAGAGAGAGACTCTTTTAAAATAAAAAAATTGCTCTTATGAAAGGTACATTGGCTATATATCTCCAACCTGCTGCATTGAAGTGCCTGAGGTAAAGGGAGGTCATAATGAAGGCAGAAAGATAAAAGAAAAAAATTTATCTAAGCATGTTGAATGAATACTTACCGTTTATTTTTTCCTAATGTTCTGTGGAGTAAGTGTTTAGTCGTTCTAGAAAACTTTATGGGACATAAGTATGCGAAAGTGTCTTTGCCTTGTACTGTATGACATGAACTGCAGCTCAGGATTTGTGAGTGAACACAACTTCTAGAGTTCATGCCAGAAGTTTCAAGTGAGTGTCCTTGTGCTTCCCAAAATTTAATGTCACGCCCACACCTACCTACTTCTTAATGTTGCCTTAAACTGCAGGATTTGTTTTCCGCACATTGGATTTATAGGTCAACCTATTTAGTTAACTTTGTACCATGTGTACACAACCCTGCAACCTAGTATATCACATTCATGAGGTCAGGCATTTACTTGCAATTATAAGTTTCACTCATCCAGCCTGTCTAGCACTTTTATTGATTGGTGTCATTTTGCCTATGTGGTAATCTCCATCATCTCAAGCAGTAAAATACTTAGAACTATCTGAATGCCTCCTATCATAATTTGATAAACCATTTAAAAGGTTTTGCAGTTATTTGTGCAGAAATATAGTGCAGACACTCGAAAAAAGAAAAAAAGCTCATCATACTACCTTTTTTGCTAATTATAATAACAAACAATGTGGATAAAGAACTCATCTTATATACTCTGCTGTGTCACTAAAAAGTGACATCATAAAAAAAGCAGATTCATAGATGTGTACAGGTTATAAGCTGATGACATCTTCATATGGCAGCAAAGAAAAAATTTTACCAACAATAATGGAGAGCAAAATGTTATACTTTCATCGAAGCATAATTGTATCTCTCTTAAAATATACTGGTATTTGCTGATATTCTGCTTACTGATGTGACACGGCACCTATTTGAAACAAGACGTGATAGAAACTATTCTCGGCGACAACTTATCTTGACATTGGAGCGAAGGCTACGGAGGCGGAGCTTCCACACACTCGTGTGGTTCCGCAAGTGGTATGGCAGCTTGTCGCTGATTTCAGTTTTACTCGGTCATATATTTAATGAATGAAAAAAACATATAGATAAAAATTATGAATGGGAGAAACATTTCTATCGTGCAGTGCACACTTTAGTGTCATATTACAAGTATATTTTTCTCGAAGAACTAAGCATCGTGTTTCTGGTTGCACAGGTTTTGACTACGTCACGGACGGCATGTTTTTTTTGCAAAACTAACATGCTGAAGAGGTTGTGCTGTTTAGGAAATGGAAAGAAAACATTCTTGCAAAGTGAACAATAGCTGTATCTTATCTATGACTTCTCTCAACAGTTGGACTCTCATTATAAATAAAGCAGCATTTATCTCAGCAGATGCTAAATGAAAAAATTATCAGTAAACTTCAGTACTATTCCTTGTCATGATAGAAGTCATGTGCTTCAGTTCTGTAGCTTCCACATTGCTGTCAAAAAAAGCTGTCGCCGAGTGTAGAAGTGTATCAGATGAGGATAGAGAGGAGGCTTGAGACACATGAGAACTGATTGCGAGTCCTCGGCGTGATGCCATTAGACATAAAAGAGTGTTATGCATTTGCCCCCATGGCCATTAGTGGCAGCAACTAACGTTCCCATGATTACTTCTGACATAAATACCCGGGAAAGTAGACAAGGAAACTGCCACCAGTGTAACACAGGTCTAGTGCAGAAGTTTTGTGTGCGTAAGGATGGCATGGTGGTTTTTACTTCACTTTCTCTTTTTCTCATAATAACTAACTTGAATTTGAAACTCCTAATAATTACTTTTACGCTTTCACTGGATTTATATGTATTGTAGGTAAAATTTTACACTTTTTTTTATAGATTTAAATTTGACCAGTTCAAAACACTTGAGGCCTAGTGCATACGCTTTCCTGCATGTGGCGAGACAAGTACCGTGGTGAACGGCGAGTGCTGTTTGTGCGATTTCTTTTATTCTCATTTTATCATGACAGTTACACAATGCTATTTGAATTTACTTTGTGTGCCCAATCTGACAAATATGACTGACAAAAGGCAAGAAAAAGTAGTGGATAATGACTATACAAAGAACGACCATCCACTGCGATTTTAATGAATAGATCTCAAGAGTTACAATTTTACAGACTATGAGCAATGTGATGTGAAACTGTATTCACACTTCTCGTGCCTCATTTTTAGCGTACATAATAATGGAGGTCTTGGGAACACTGTTTAGTCTTTGTATGTCTTATACTAGTAGAAGCTGGAGCTTTTCATACATTTAGAAGGAAACACTGTTCCCAAATATGCTGCACAACCTCTTCTAGTAATGTCCCCATCCTGTTTCTGTGTATTTTATGGTGTGTTGAGAAAAAATACTTTGATATCCCAATACTCTTTATTAGTCTGAATAATTTTAGTAAACACATTATTGTTTGATGACTGGGAGCAAAACATCAGAGCAGAAACAATGTTGTTTCGTATGAATTAGTGCTTGTTTGGAGAGTAGTGCACCATCTCAGTGTCTTCAACACAATACACACATCAGTTATTTTGGTGTAACAATGACCTCACAAATAGAATCCACATGCCACCCGCAGGTTGCGGGTTCATATCTCGGCTGTGGCGCCTGCATTTCTGATAGAGGCGGAAATGTTGTAGGCCCGTTTGCTCAGATTTGGGTGTACGTTAAAGAACCCCAGGTGGCCGAAATTACCGGAGCCCTCCACTACGGCGTCTCTCATAATCATGTGGTGGTTTTGGGACGTTAAACTCCACATATCAATCATCAATCATATCAATCAAGGTGGTCAAAATTTCCGGAGCCCTCCACTACGGTGTCTCTCAGAATCATATGGTGGTTTTGGGACGTTAAACCCCACATATCAATCAAAGAATCCACATGCCAGTAGCAAGCCTGGTCAATGGCCACAGTGTGACAAATGCCATGTTTATTCATAAAATAAATAGGCATTCCCTCATTAGAGTGAAATTTGTACTTCCTTGGTTATTTCCCCTTCACGCTACGATGCACCTGCTCGCTGTTTCAAACCCTGCGTGGTGTTAAAGTTTACTTACTGTGCATTAACTGTGTATTAACTGTGCATAAGAGTGATGTACCATTCTGCATGGCCATCCTTTGTTGCCGGCGATCCCATATCACTTTTACTAATGAATACAAAAACACTGACAGCAAGCCATGTTCCTGTGTAAGATGCGAGGGAAAATTATACAGTTCACCATAAATAAATGCTTTTAACTTCCAGTGTGAATGGAAGCCTGAGCAAATCAAAGCCTGAACTAGCCTGTGCAAGTGATGTTCTTGTCTGTGGGGGAAACAACATCACTTGCACAGGCTAGTAATGAAATTAAGGCTAATTTTACTCATTGAAGAGCAAAATTATCTTTACAAAATGTGACTTCAATATTTAATGGTCGCTGCTTGGTTTACTTTCGTCGCTGTTGCATTTTGCTTTTTTTTACGTTTCTCTTCCTCACAGTGGCAGTAAGAAGCCTGGAGAGGACCTGCAAGAAGGCAAGAAAGCAGAGCAACCAACCGAAGAGTCTGCCACCTGCTCAGGAAGAGGTGCCTCAGATTCAGGAAATGACAGTAGCAGCAGCAGTGACAGTGACAGTGACTCCAGCGATAGTGAAAGCACTGGGGACACTGAAAGGTTTCTGCTAAAGGTTAATGGCCTTCCCAGAGACATTACTACAGTGTTGGTTGCCAAGCATTTGAAGAAAGCAGGCATCAAGGTGTCTAGGGGTGCTGAAGGTGTCCTCCTGTTGACTAGAAACAGTCAGTCGTCTAATAGAGCATTCGTTCAGGTGGCATCAAAACAGGACCAAGAGAGGGCCTTAAACTATGCATGGGGAAATTCTCAGTTAGCGGGTCAGGCTATAAAGGTCGCCCGGGCTCAAGCGGATGATGTTCGTCGCTACGTCATGACAAAGGCGCCTTCGCCGAGCGCACTTAAGAACATAATTTCTAGCCGTGTCGTGCATGTTCGCAACCTTGCAATGAACTTGCCAGAAGAAAAACTGAAGGAGTTTTTGTCCCATTGCAGAGTGACTCGAATCGATCGCGAACGATTCGACTCGAACAGGGCTCAAAGATCAGCGTTCGTCTGGTTCGCTACCACTGAGGATGCCCAAAAAGCCTTGGCTATGAGTGGAAAAGTGCTGAATGGGATGAAGATGGAGCTGCGGTTAGTCTCGGAGGATTACGCTGAGAAGCTACTCAAGGGAGAGCTTTCGAGCTTGGCATCATATGCAGACAAGGCGAGTTCGCGAACGCAAGCTCGCACGAGTCGACTACTTCGCCGAAACCCAGTTAAGAAGTCTAGTGAACATTGGATTCCTGTTCAGGAGGTGAAAGAGCAAGACATCGATAAAGTATTGCAGTCATCGGATGGACAGTACAGAGTCATCGCTGAAGGTCTTCCCTTTAGTGTCACGCAGATCAGCAACTTTTTGTGGCCCTCAAAGCCGACCGCGGTGGTTCGCATCCTACATGTGAGCAGTAAACGGTCGGCTAAAATGATGCTTTCGTTCGCAAGTCTTGCGGACGCCGAACAAGCTGCCAAAAAGAACGGTCACTTGGTCTTTGGCCGCCGCGTAAAAATAACACTCGTAACTTCTGACATGCCCTGTGGGCACGACGATGGTGTAGCCGCCAAAACGGTGGAATCGCCGTCTTAGGCAGCATCGCGAAGAAAATTTAGCTGCCAGTAGTTAGCTTTGGTTTTGCTATGTGGTGAAATCGAAAATCTTTTTTGTATACATGGGGACCGCATTTAATTTCCCAGCGATCAACCAGTGCACTGCTATATGGCAATTGGTGCCGGACGCACACAGTCCGAGTATAGCATTTAAATAACTGAGTATTGTGGTACTTAGTCGATTATAGAGGCTTTTAACAAGCTACCGAAACACGTTACGGAATTACGACACAGTTCCTTTCCGTATGGGCATACAATGGTCACGCATGAGCATTCGTCAGCCGGTTCCGCGTTGCCACCTTTCCGTAGCTTGCTGAAAACCTCCAGTGTAATACGCATACGCTATTTGTGGCCTAGATCAATCGCCTCGGACATCATCATTTCCGAACAAATATATACAAAGGCCGGACCTAGTATGTTAACCGCCGCACTGTCTATGTGCGCTCATAAAGCAGACTCATGCAAGTGCCGGCGTTGGTGTGCTCACGGGAATCAACGCTAGCTGTACGAATACAACGCTCGACTGATGTTATATATGTTGTGCAACAATGTTTCATGGACGTTTCATCAGTGTTTTCGAAAGTCGAGCTGGACGGAATGGTGTGGTTTGGTGATGTGTCGCGCTTTTTGTGTGCATGGACTGCAGAAATGTCCTTTGTTGTATAGTTTATGAAAACCGCTCTTGTCTCGGACAACCACGTGTTCCTGCCTTGTGAAGTCTGTCAGTGGCTTATTTCATAATCCTTCTTCGACACTTCAAACCATGTAGATAAAGATAAAAGCGTTAATTGTTTTTGAGCCATTGGTCCTGGATAGATGGCGTATCAACATATTGCCTAACTCGTTTGGTCAGTCCTGAAGCTGGCTCCATGTCATGATGTACAGCAGTTGTGCAACCAGCCCGCTAGCGTTGTTTCAAAATAAAGAACAATAATGTATTTCTTTGCAAATGCCCAAGTGTCTGAAAGCATTGAATGTCAAGGCTTTGTTTTTGTCAGTGGCATGCTCATAGGATAGCACAAGCTCAATTGTTTATCTTTGTTTGGTAAGAGCATACAGACACGAACTGCAGTCAGACTTGGTGTACCAACAGCTAGTAATCTTCTAGGCGTACAAACACCTAAGGTAGGGTCTCACTGCAATGGCACCCGCTTCATATTTCAGTCATTGTTTGCTGACGCACTACACTTACGGTGCTCACCGTATTGATGTAAATTGTATTACAGTAGAAAGTTTATGTTCTTCACTTTTTTATGACAGCTAGTATTGTCAACTAGTCCTAAGTGGTATTGCATAGCAATGAAAACAGTGCAAGCAAAAACCACAGTCTGTGTTGTACAAGCCTTCGTTGTACTGGCCATACGGCAAAACTATTTGCCATAACCAAATGAGATTTGGTGGGCCTATTAATGAAGCATTATGAAAGATTTCTATGAATAGGTATAGCCAATAAAGCAATTAGAAAGTGATGCAGGCTCCAGTCACAATGGGCAGAACAAGGTAAGTTTATTAGTGAATAACTTTTTTTGTGTAGAACAACAACATTGAATGGGTTTCCAGGCTACAGTGTACTTAATGTCTATGCGAAGTTGTTTAGAGTTTTGATGCATGGTTCATGAATTATCACTACTTGAATTCGGCAATTTATGGCTCCACATGCTCAGGAATTACCGACGAAGTGACAAAACTATCCAAGCTTAAACTCTGAAATTTTCAATATTCAAGCAGCAAGCCTTTCTCTATGTTTCCATGAAGACAAAATTGTCTTAAGTTAATTTGAAATATTGTAGGACAGCAGTGAATTTACCTCATTTTTCTGCTTGCCAGGTTCATACAAATTTATTTTTTCTTTATCGATCGGCTAATGCACAAGTATTGCACATTAACAGGACCATGTCATGACCTGTAATTACTAGGGCTCACTAACTGTACGAAGCCGTGTTTGAAATAACAGATTTTCATGAACTAATAAGTCTCGCAAATATTTTTGTGGTGGCATGATCTGTGACAAAAACCATGAAGTTGTGTCGCGTCAGTTCCTACGTTTGTCAAAAGTGACGCCGCCAAACATGACTGCCGCTTAAACACGTGTCAGCTATTTCTCCAGACTTCAGTGTTCAGCTTAGTGGCTAACTCCAGTCGCTGAGTCTCCAGTGCACAATATAACCCCTGAGAGGCTGCTAAAAAATGAAAGAAGGTAAGAGAGGGAGCGCCAGAACGAAAAAAGGGAAGTAAGCGTGTCACATTCCCGACCAGGAAATTGGGCTATTGTGCCGAAAATCGGGACCTGAATGGCTGCTTGCCTCTGTAGCTAGGGGACTATAGACGCGTTTTTAAAGTACACAGAGAACTTGCCATTGCCTTCTCCTATATTTGAGACTCGCAGGGCATTTCATTACCTGGTGGTCTGCTTTCCATTCGCGGGTGGAGACGTGTATTTGGCAGTGTGTGTTCGACTTTTCACGTGCTGAAAGCAAAAACCTTTTTTCTGTGCATGGAGACCGCATTTGATTTCTCGGCGACCAACCAGTGCACTGCTGTAGTGCAATAGGTGCCAAATGCACACCACCGTCCGAGTATTGCGTTTCTGTAACTGAGTACTGTGGTACTTAGTAGATAATGTAATACGCCTACGCTTTTTGCAGCATAGATCGATCGCCTCGGACATTATAATTTCCTAACAAATATAGACAAAAGCCCGACCTAGTATGTTAACCGCCGCACTGCTCATGTGCGCTCGCGTGGTCATAAAGCGGACCCGTGCAAGTGCCTGCGTTGGTGTGCTCACGGGAATCAACGCTAGCTGTACGCAGGGGCGGCGCGAGGATGTTTTTACTGGGGGGGGCAACCACGAAAAGTGAGTTTCTCCGGGAGGGCAAGCTAGCTCTGCTCCTACTAGGTTTTCAATATATGCTTCTGGGCACTTGGGTGGGCATAGGGGGGGCAGGCGAGAATTTTGGGGGGGCTCCAGCCCACCCTTGCCCCCCCCCCCCCTGGCGCCGCCCCTGGCTGTACGAATACAACGCTCGACTGATGTTATATATGTTGTGCAACAATGTTTCATGGACGTTTCATCAGTGTTTTCGAAAGTCGAGCTGGACGGAATGGTGTGGTTTGGTGATGTGTCGCGCTTTTTGTGTGCATGGACTGCAGAAATGTCCTTTGTTGTATAGTTTATGAAAACCGCTCTTGTCTCGGACAACCACGTGTTCCTGCCTTGTGAAGTCTGTCAGTGGCTTATTTCATAATCCTTCTTCGACACTTCAAACCATGTAGATAAAGATAAAAGCGTTAATTGTTTTAGCCATTGGTCCTGGATAGATGGCGTATCAACATATTTCCTAACTTGTTTGGTCAGTCCTGAAGCTGGCTCTGTGTCATGATGTACAGCAATTGTGCAAACTGCCCGCTAGCGTTGTTTCAGAATAAAGAACAATAATGTATTTCTTTGCAAATGCCCGAGTGTCTGAAAGCATCAAACGTCAAGGCTGCGTTTTTGCCAGTGGCATCCTCATAGAATAGCACGAGCTCAATTCGTTTGGCTATATGTTTGGTAAGAGCATACAGACACGAGCTGCAGTCAGATTTTGCGTACAAACACCTAGTAATCTGCCAGGCATACAAACACCTAGTAATCTGTTTAAATATAACCCATGGTTTCTATTTATAGGAGTTTCACAGATTAAGAAAAAAAAGGGGGGTGGGATGAATTGTTTTATATGGTAAAGGGCCTTAGTGTTCCAGTATAATTGTGGATAAAAAATGGAGATGAAACTGTGTAGTATTGTACTTATAGTGTTCTCATTGTAGCGTAGATTCAAGGAGGCTGTCCTGTTTCCTCCCACCACCCTCGGTGTCTCTGAGGAAGTTTGTGCGAGAACTTAGTTCTCATCGTAGCGCAGATACAAGGGGGTTGTCCTGTTTTCTCCCACCCCCCTCGGTGTCTCTGAGGAAGTTTGTGTGCGTAGAGCTAATGCGCGGCTTATTGCAAATTTAGTGAAGTCCTTCCCAGCTGCTACTTTGTCGTTACTATACTTTCTGGAGTGAAATACTATTCTTTATCATATAAACATCCGTGAAATCATTATCATCAATTGCCCTCTCAAAGCTGACCCCCTCTGTCACGAAGGCTATTTGTTCGGACTGTAGTGGTGTTTTCCGGATCAGGGATCCCTACTAGTCTAGCTGCAGCTTCGACATCTTTAATTTATACTAGCTTTATTGAGACATTGTCTAGTGCATTCGATTTTCTTCATTATTTACAGCATTAATTTTTTTTTCGTGTTTGCATGATTTCATCCATGCTCTCATGAGAAAACTCTTAGTTCCATGTGACAGGAAGTGATAGCTGATTTCGCTATTTATTTATTACTGTGAACACAGTGGGCGAGTAGCAAGTACGAGTTCAGATCTATGTGGGCGGTGACATCTATGTGGGTGCTGCAATGTTGGCTCCTGACCCCTGCAACTGGCACAAAACGGCCACGTCCGCTTCGCTGGCTCGATGCGTTGGCTGGGATAACTGGCTGGGAAAAGGCCGGTTACGGTCACGTGATCAAATATGGTAGCGCTTGTGCGTGGGTGTGGAATATCGTCTATAGACTATACGATCCAACCAACTCTTGGTCAATCATAGATTAGGTAGGTGCCTATCACACTGGTGGAATCTCATTCCCTACATGAGGCCACAGTGTATGCTAATCAATCACTTCTGGCATATCTGTACCACACTTGTAATAAAAATGAATGCTGTACACATGCTACATAACATGCCTGCTGGCTTCAAGCTGACAAGGCCACTAACGACTAGCATTTGGGAAGGCTGAAACCTATGGTGGTTGTGGGACGTTATACCCCACATATCAATAGAGAACACACAACAGACCACTGCAAGGATGCCAGAGGCAAGCTATACAGCCTACCTGTAAGAAACCAGATGGAACTCTGTCTTCAGTCTTGTTAGCATTTATTTCTGAATTGGAGACAGTTTAGGATATGGTTAAAAAATCCGTGCTAAATGTTCAATCACAGAAAGTCTAGGAGGGCAAATTTAGGCATTTTCACTGAGCCAATCCCGAGAAGGCCAGGTTTCATCTCTGGTTGCTATAGTCCTAAACAAAATTTTATCTCGAACCGAACGAGGAAAAAAAAAATTCAACGTCCCCAATATTTTGTTCCCTCAATAGCTCCCGGTGTTCCCAATTACACTATCAATGATGCGCTGAAATCGGCAGCGCATTTACCTTAAATAAACTACCTTCCACTGCCACGAAGGTAATAAAGTAGATTCGGAATGAGTAAATTCATGTGTTGACAACCGTTTACCAACTTTTCAAGATCGTGCTGGCCATGCAAATGCCATATGGATAGCGAGAGAACTGCCTCTATGTGAACTAGTAGTGTGGTTGTACTGCACCAAGCTACTATCCCTCAACCATGGTAACGTGCTTAGCGCAGTTTTGCCGTTCTTATGCATCTGATGACATCATCTTTATGTCGTTACAATCATTATTAGCTTAGCTTTATAGATATCCCTTTCCTACGTGTAGTAATTTTATGAATGTAATTCACGGCCTGGCTATTCCCGAAGTGGGAGTGGGCTCTATTTTTTTTTTTTTCATTCCGAGGAATCGAAAAGGACGGAATTACTGAAATTCGGAATACCCCGAAATGGAATCGGAGTGTAACGGAGGTGCCCATTATGCAACACTGATGGACACTATCTGCAGGCTTTCATCGTCTCCATCATGATTCGTATAAAGTACAAATCAATTACTTTTGTGCACACACTGCATAATGTTCACGCGGATAAAATATCGTGAGCACTGGCGAAGAACACTGCTAAAGCATAAATGAAACAAGCTGCCAATCTGAATCGCGTGGAGGGCGCGTGCGATGTTTACCGTCATCTGCTCGTCAACCTCAAAAGAAGTCCTGTTTGTCTTTTGCT